GTGTGTTTTTGCCGCCACTTTATTTCATGGTCAACAGCCCTTTAAGTCAAGGAAAGCATTTTTCACCACATCTTTCTTCTTTCGGCTGCTCCCTTCTTCGGCGAATTAGGTCGCATGAAGACTTGGTAATTATTTTTACACCAGATTTTGCCCTTCCTGACACAACCATAGACCACCGAGCTACCACAGCCCTCTGTGTGGAGCAGAGAGCTGCCATTTAAGGTGCCTGGGGTTTAAGGGCCTTGCTCAAGGGCCCAGAGACAAATGAGACAGGTGGGTGCGTCATCAGTCCTACCCACATTTTGATGTCAGTACCGGGAGTTGAACCAGCTACCTTCCAATCACAGACCTACCTTCTCTTACCTCTGTACCACCACTCCCTCCATTTTTCACCACATCTGTTGATAGTAATTATCTTTAAAAAATTGACTAGCATATTTCTTAGTTTATATCTTAGATCCTTATTGACCTTTTCTTTTTAGACTTTATATTTTTGATGTCACTGGGACCCTGTGTACACAATTTTGTTCCACCTCATGTACCACAAGTGATGCAAATGACAATAAAGAACCTAGACTTGACTAAATGATCTCTTTAAAAAAAAAATGTTCTTGCGGTCTAACTTGACTTTTACAAGTTTTTGTTTGACACCCTTTTGTTCTTCAGTAAAATAAACCGAGTCCTTTCTGCTCGCCCTTGAAGAGCAGTCACATTTACTGGTACATTTACTGTGGAGCAGCAAAATAAAACACAACCTAAACCAAAATCAAAGTTCTTACAATCATACTTTTTTAATTGAGATAAAGACATTTACCTGAAAACTAAAGCAACAATCTGTGCCAATGTCACAGAACAGGGAGGAAAAAGAACACCATTAGTGTGACCAAGATCTGTTTATGTATAGGATTACAGAAAACTGTCCGAACTATTTAAAATAAAACACTGTGACAACAGCCAGAGCAGTGGTCATAAAAATAACAACAACTTTCATACACAAGTCAGGAAGGCTGGTGTTGTATAAATTGTTCTAAAAATGTCATTTATAAATATTTTATTTGGCAGATTAGATTGGAAAATTCATAATTTATTCATACAGGATAAAGAAAATTAGTGTACTGGTCCTGAAATCAGCACTGTGCCACGCCTTAATGCAGTAATGCTGTGATACATGAAGTATTTGAATAGCTTTTTGCTTTTCACATTCATTTATGACAGAATACTCCCAAAACAAACAAATATATTAAATTGGATTAGATGCAGTTTTTTTCTTCCATTTTTCAAAGGACAACCAATAAAATGTTTTTTTTTTTTAATTAAAAATTTAGAGTAAAAGTTTTTTAAACTGGAATTTATGCTGCTTGCATGCGTTTTTAGTTGAAACCAGTGCCCCCCCCTAAAGATTTAAGATGTCAATAAACTGGAAACCACTACTGAGAGTCAGTGGCCCTCCCTGTGGGTTTCTAGGCTCGACGATCTGCATCTTATTGTGACTTTGAGATCTACAGATATATTTTGTAAATATTCGAGGTGATCATGTGCAGGCATCATTCATCCAGCAGTTAAGCTCAACTAATCCTAGATCATCTTTCACATTTAAAATATAAACACCAACACAACCAAACTGGAACTTCACTGTTAATGAGTCCAATTATGTACGGAGTTATTAAGACTAATTTGAATAATTGCTACAGTTCAATGGCATTTTGAGACTTTAGTTATCTGCAGCTCAAGAATTTACCATTACTGTAAAAGTGAACTTTGGGCTATTTGATCATAAGTTAACAACAAAGTCCATGCTCAATAATCCAGGTATACAATCCAACATTTTTCAGTCAGGTCATCTGGACAGTTTCTAAACCCGTGGGAGTAGAGAGCTTCCAAAAAATGTACGGAATCATAAATACAACTATAATAATAATAATAATAAATATAAACAGGATCACAATAGTGTGAATGTGCATATGACTGATTATTTATGCAACTTTAGCTTTTGGAGATATTTAGCCTTTTCTGCCATTTTGGCTCTGAAAATGAATGGAGCTATCTAGAAACAGGTAAAAAAAATACAAACAAAAAAAAAAAGAAACTGTCCAGATGAGCTGATTGAAAAATGTTGGATCATAAGTTAATATTTCCTAACAGAAGATCAGTGACACTGGCAGAACAAAGAAAAAACTGGATCAGAAAACTTTTATCATTCTAACGTGGCATAATGAAAAAGACAGTTTCATTTCATCACACAGGAGCACCTGACAGGTCACCAATAGGATATTAATGTCCTGAATAAATCTGGATGAAATGAAGATCATTACGCTCAATGTTTTGTTTTAAATAGATGTGCATGAAGCCTGAACAGGTACGGTAAAATATCAACATTAGCAATCAGTTCTTGTAAAGTAAGCAGACTGGGAAACTAGACGCACACCAGAAAGAAGAGACTTCTCTGAAGGGATTTTAACACAAGCTTTCTCCTCACTGACACTTTCTAAACTACTTGAATCATTCGATTACATTTCAAGACAGCTCTCCAAGGTGATTCAACTTTTAAAAAATAATCAATTTTTACTTGTGTATTCAAAAAAACTGAAATAATTTACTCATTGCAAATGATTTTAATCAACGTGTGTAGGGAAGATTTGATGGTCATACAGTAAAACGTGACATCTATAGCCATGACTGCTGACCAAATGAATCACTGACCTTTGGCTCTGCATGAAATTGTTTATCCATATGAACATTAAGATGCACATCAGCCACTCGACAAAATCACGAACCACTGCTCGTACCTGGCACTTTGAATTGAGAAATGAAAAACATTACAAGTGCAGAGGATACAGTTCTGGGACAAACTGAACATGAGAGGGTCATCGCATAAATGAACACGCTCACAAACATTAACCACGTCTCGGTATCGTGCACCAAAGTTATTGAATAGATATTTGTGTTTTTCTGATATCTGATCTCAGAATGAAAAAGTGCAAGGGATGCAGGATTAGGTCATAAATTAAATAAAACATTTCAACACAGCTCATAATTCCTAAAATAATTTATCTACAGAGAAGAAAAAGTGTCACTCCGCCAAACATGTCTTAGTTCACAAAAACAAAATTTTGATTTCTTAAATTAATCACCAGACACAAAAGAAAAATTAAATGTCTTCCACAAGCTAAGCAGAAAAAAATTATATCGTCCTTTTTGGTTCCAGAAAGACAAGGTGGTAAATGGGCTTTTGTGGTGGTGTCTTTTTTTTATCTGGCACTTCTTCAAGTCTTTTAAGTTTGGTTTTGCAGTTCAGCAGCTTCTTTACTCTTCATCCAACAGGTTGCTGCCAACAACACACAGCTGGTTCCACATCTGTACCCAGCCAATCAGCAGCTAATGTCTCTTGCAGCTGTTTCTCTGTGCTTATCAAACCAAGAACGAAAAATTCAGCTTTTTTTTTTTCCCCCCCATAGCAAGCAAATCAACAAAACAGGCTGCTCCAAAAAGATTTACAAGAACTTTGCACACCCATATTGTTATTTATTTAGAAAGCAAAAGAGAAAGACACACGTAGCAGTGATCTGAGTTCTGAGCGTTGGGATTAAGTCCCAAGAAGATTTTTTTTTTGTGGATGTTCTCAGTCTTATGTAGGAAAGACGAGCATTAGGTGTTCGTTTTGCCCGACGCGGCCGAGCGTCAACTTGTCTGAACTGAATGCACTATACAGTCTTCTGGGATGTTAAGAGTGTGAGCGCACAGTTGTATTAACTCGTCACAGACGCGTACAGTGTGAGATACAGAGCGTACATCTAAGCACCGTCACTGGAAATAAACGTATACTAGTCAGGAATGCTGAACAGGCCAGTATACTCTACAGTGACACCCAACAGAGCGTACCTCTCTCTACACACAGAGAATTATTTCTGCTATGATCTAGATGGTGCATCCTCAAAACTAATGATGCTGGACTCTGGGTGTTGCACTCCGCTTGAAGATGGCGTCCCGCCGCTCTGCGACACTGAAGACGAGGACGCGAGAGAAGCACCGACGAGCCCCCCGGCTGTTCTCGAGGTAGAGGACGAGGGGTCGCGCCTGCCTGGAAGGAGAGGCTGCGTGTCGGTTCTGACCTCCTCCTCTTCCTCGTCCTCCTCGTCGTCCATGCTGGGCCAAGCAGATTGGTCCTCAACTCGCTTTAGACGTTCATTCAGAGCTTTCAGGGCGAGTTGTCTGGATGGAAGAGATAAAAATGGACATTAATTGTGCCTTCACAAAAACAACAAAAAAGTTATTCATGAACATCCAAATTCAATAGCATGGTTGAGGGACAGAGTTGAACACAACAAATTAGTATAGTTTACATAATTAATTTCATACTAAATTTAAAAAAAAAAATGTATTCAACTAGCCACAAGTACAAATTCAGTCAGATAATTTTAATTTGATTTCTTTTATCAATCTGAAAGGAACTCATTACTTGTTGATTAACGGACTGATGCTTAATACACTGAATTATTATTTACATTATTAGTGTTTAGCATATACCTTAGATCTTTTAGCGTACTGCTTAGCTTTTGTTTAGAGTATATCTTAGATCCTTATTTACGGTTTCTTTATTTACACTTTATATTTTTGCTATTTTTGGGTGTAACTGGAACCCTGAGTACACAATTTCATTCTACCTCATGTACTACATGTGATGTAAATGAACTGAACTTGAAATCCAATCATCTATTCTGATAAAGGCAGTTACTTTTGACTAGACTTATTTTTGTAACATTGTCTCTCTGTTGCTAATTGGAGTGTTGTTGTTTTTTAATATATGAACTAAAGAATAAAACTGCACTTTGCTTCAAGAATAAAGAAACCTGCTCCATCAGCATTTGATCACCCACGAAATGTAAAGGGGCTCAGTATTCGTACAGTATTCATAGCTGCACCAATCATTTATGCTGTACATCTTTTAAAAAGAACAATACATTTTAATATCTTCCAAAATCAAGTTTGAGCATTTGGCAGAAATGTTAAATCCTTTCAGTGAGGGCTGATGTTATTTATTATTATTAGACCTTTATTTATACAGGTTAGTTCCCACTGAGCCTCAAAGACTCATTTACAAGAGAGACCTGTTACATACAACATACAGACAGATGAGAAAAAGTGAACACGAGGATGGAGGAAGCCAAAAACAATCATGTCTCACATGGCCTGGCTGGGAAACAGCGTAAACGATGCAAAAGAAGACCTCGCAACATAAGGCAGCAACATACAATGACATCATAATACATTTAGGTCGACAAAGGTGGCGAGTTATCCATAAACACTCCACCAGAAAGTTCCAAAGTTCTGATAAGATGGTACAGTGTTTATCAACATCATGGTTCTGATAAGGCCACAGCTGTCCTCGGGGGGACAGAAGCTTCTAGTTTACATATCCTCCAAGCACAATTTGAGATAAGTCGAAGGCCAGTGGGGAGGCCAAATTCAGATAAACAACAACTGTTTGGGCCACCAGACTCTGTTTTCCGTCTGCCTTCAAGTTCTGCTGGTACACTCAATGGTGAAACCAAGCAGCCAGATTTGTGGACCTTCCACCTGGTCCGTGCTTGATTAGCTTTCTCCAAGGTTGAAACCTTCATGCCGGTGAGTTCCAGAAGCCGCAAGTGGCCTACGATTCTCAGAAATCATGTCTAGCTTGTGGTTGAGCTTGTTAAGCATACGAGTCTGAGCGCTCGAAGCACATATTAATCCTTCACATAAGGCTGGCAGCTTTACCCTGGCCGAAACTGCTGCAGACATCCTCCTATTTTGTTGATATCCAAGGTATCCACTGATTCCAAAAAGCAGAAACCCTGTCATAAATCCAATAAAGTACACATCTTCTATGTCCTCCACGGACAGCACAGACCGGCACATCATCTTTCACTCCCCCCCAGGAATCAATGACATACTCAGCTGTGTGGGTCTGTTCAGGGTATGAGGGCTCTCCAACACCCTGCTGACTGGTGGAAAGAATGTTATCAACTACGTCGAAGGACCAGCTGACCAAATCCATAATTTTCGATTCGGAAGATGTGTAAAGAGAGGCTCTGAGGTTGACAGGAAAAGAGAGCAAAATAAAAGCAGGAGGAAGCAGGAGGGAGGGTAAGGGCGACCGTCTTCGTCTAGAACGAACAAATGTTATTTTATCTTTCTTTTTTTTTAACAATTCAGCTTCTGAAAACGAGTTTTCTGCTTTTTTCCACTTAATTAAAACTCATTACCATCTCATGACTGGAGTGTGACATTTCAATGAGTATTGTTACATTTATTTAACTTCACACTGTCAAGAGTTTTCTGACGAGTCTTTTTTTTTTTTTTTACTCTTAATACCGATTGTACTTCAAAAAGAAAATATATTTCATCATTTTGATTTGAAACAACTTTTTTCCCCTTTTTGTTCACAATAACATGCTGGTGAATGTTATGAGTGAACACATGTGGAACAACTAGTGTTGCAGCTGGATGTCCTGCTCTAATTCAGCGGTGAGAGCAGCATTTTCTCACCTCGACATTATTCACTTCGACTGTTCACCTCTGATTTAAAGGGGCACCACCTCCAGCAAAAGTGAAGAGTGATAATCTTTTCCCTCTCTGCTCACCATCACTTTTATTTATGTCAAGTGCCCAGCATGCAGCTCTTATGATCCACCATAAACAGGTCACGGTGGCAAAAACATCTAGATATTAGTTCCTTATTCAGCTTTAGGCACAAATATTGAAATGGAATCGTTACGAGAACAACTGGATTCCAGTTAGATTAGACTATTTACATCTCCACACCTGAAGAGAAATAAAATCCTAGACCAAAACAGGCTTAAACCTGATAATGTGAAAACTGTTGGAGAATTTAACACAATTCTGGATTTGAAGTTTGAAAGACAAAAACACATAAGATTAAAATAAAAATATTTTAGCACACCGTTACTGCAGTGATTTAAAGCAAAACTACAAAACAAAATAACCTCAATCATTACTCTGTGTGTATGCAGATACTTGAAACTAAATTTGAATGACAGCTTGGACGTGTGTACATCAGACAAGATGAGGTGAAAAAATAACATGTCATCCTAAAAGTAGGTGTTTGAAATCTTTAAAAGAAAAATCCCAGAGGAATACAGCTGGAAAACAGCGCAGCTGCTCAGCAAACCTTCCGAGAGCAAACAAAACAAAAAGAGGCATTGCTTCTTTTCTGTCTCATCTTTGACGTGTGTTTAATTAATTAGGTATCTGTATAGCGATTGTGAATTCAGCATGAAAAATAAGTTATAACTCATATTATTCTATAAGTTGATAATATCAAATTACTGAAATACACTAAAACTTTGACATGAACTAAAGTCCCATGCTGGATGCAAAATGGATCTTGTAGTGAAAATATAGTCTCCATACTGTCTAAATAAATATTTTACAGGTTTATGAAGATTTTATTTGCTAATATTTAAAAACTTGTAACACTATTTAGAATAGTACTTTTTTATAGACTTCTGAAACCTCTGTAAAGCCTCTGCTCCTCCTCGACTCACCTCCTTCTTTCCGCATCCTGTGGATCTGTCCCTGGCAGGCTGATGGTGATGGAGGACGGTGCCCCCACATCGTATCTCTTTACCATCTTCCTGCACACCTTTAGCTTCACCAGGGCGGCGTGAACGAGCCCGGCCAGAAGTCCAACGACCGGCTGCACAGCCTCGGGGAAGAAACTTGCAAAGGCAAAGTGGTCTGACATGTCCCCACGGCCTCGGCTGTGTCTCTGGTAGAAGCGCAGGTACACCCAACCGGACAGGGAGCCATAACTGTATGCAGCCAGGGGTGCACAGCTGTCAAGCAGCCCAGACAAGCGCAGTAAGGACAGGAGGAGGAGGACCAAAGCAGGAGCAGCTTTCAGTCTCACCTGAGAGAACAAAATAAAGACTTTATTTTAGATTCAGAAATACGACAAGTTAAAATTTTTAACAAATGGCATCCTAGCTTGGCCAGCAAAAATTAGAAAAATTAAAGTTCTAGAAAAACTTAGCAGTGCTTGGAAGTTTTTGAATTCTTAATTTGTACATATCTGAATAATAAGATCTTTGCAACTCCTGTAAGTACATTAAAAGGGAAGCAACTAAAATTATATTTAAAAAAAATCCAGTTTTGAAAAGGTATTGAGGAAAACACTTCAGTATTACCGAATATATTTCTTAGAGGCAAATAAATGTGAACATATAGATTATCAGGTACAATGAACAACCTTTAAATAATGGGCCTCTTCAAGCTCTGACCTTCAAATGTTTGAGGAGGCCCATCATGTCAAAGGCAAAACGATCAAGTTGTACCTCTAAAAAGATGTGCGGAAGCTCTAAAGACTGGAAAAGATTACTAAACGATCACTAACCAATTCTGGTTAGTCTTCTAATTCACAAGTATCCCACTAATTCACACATATCTTAGCTAACTGCACAGTTATGTTGAGGGCAATTAAAATGTGGCTAGACAGCTTTAATATACCGTAGTTATAAAAAAATGGGCCGTTTGTTATTTTATTTATGCAATGCTGATCTAGGTCATTTTTACAAGGTGTAAAACAGCAGTGCATGTGAAGCTCAGAAAGGAAGGCTGCAGTATAGTAAAGTTTCTCTGTATTTACCTACACGGACTACAAGTTAGGGCCTGTGTGGCTGGGACATTACTGTCTGAAACGCTGCAAGGATGGCGCAAACCAAGATGCAGCTTGAACCTGGAAATCTGATTAGCACAAGATTTTGAAAGTCAAAACCTACAAATGTTACTCAAGTAAAAATTTCTATTTTGGTCACTGGAGTTTAAAATGTTTTCTTTTCACATAATATACAAGTTCATATGCAAATTCCTTCATTTTGGAGGAACAAAAACACGACAATTAACTAAGTGTCATGGTTTGGGTCTAACTTGTTGTAGAGACTGATCTAAAAAAAAAAAAACTGGCACTATTTTAGTATATTAAAGCAAATTAACAACATCTAAAGATTCAAACACAAAGAACAAAAATAAATACAGTAAAATCAGGAAAGTTTCAGACATATCTGGAATGAACACTGATGTGAGGAAAACTAATAACTTATCTTGAAACAATGCTCTACAGAGGGGTATAAATGATTAGTAAATTTAAAATACTAAACCATCCTGAAGTCTGAATTTGAAAAATTATCACACGCTCAAAGAAAAAACTACCAAATGGTAAAACCCCAGGTTAAATAACTTACATTATATAAAAAACAATTTGGCCCTTCAATAATTACCATGTAAAATATATACTAGTACCCAAATACAGCTAGCTTACAAATTTTTTTTAAAGAATAGTTTTCACAGAAAGTACAACCTTCATACAAGGGAACAATAATATAAAGTTAATATGTTGGTTGTGGTTAATCTTGTAATGTTTATTTGATTTTTAACTTCAGTGGTATAGCTTGTTATTTGACTCCCATGCTAAAAATAGAAGCAAAGGTCCGTCTATAAAAATCACTAGGGAGCACCGACACGTTGCGGTATTCGTCAGCCTCACCTGTGGCACTCTGAGCACTGTGGTATCTCCCATGGTCTGCTTCAGGGCCACCAGAACACCTCCCAAGAAACCTGCTGCTCCGTGGATGCGCACAGCGAACAGGAAGTCCAGGTCGAAAGTGGCCACATAAGTGAGGAGATAGGAGAGGCCTGCCAGGAGTCCTGCAGACACATTCACCACTGCAAAAAAGATCAGGAGCTCCAGAGCACCCCACAAAGGTTCCAGCAGGCGCCCACAGGCCATGACTGTCCCCACGTTGGCCGCCACGCCCCACACATGCTGCTCCACCAATCCATGGGTCACCAGAGTCCACACCCAGAAGTTAGGTGGAAAGAGGTAACCTGGGGTCACTCCTAGGGAATATGAAGTGTCAACAGCCCATGACAGCAGGTAGAGCAGAACCACAACTGCACTTATAGTTTTTACTACCACACTGGTGCTGGCTAGGGCAGCCAGGAAGTGCTGTCGTGCCACGGGCAGATAACGATTCATTGTAGTCCTTGAGCAAATCAGCTCGAGACAAAAAAAATTAAAAATCAGATGAGCTGCCTCTGGTGTCGTTATTTGCTGGTAAAGTCCTAATGTCTAGAGTCACCGGTGAGTTCTGTCAGCATCAAGATCCACAGTTTTTTACGAGTCTTCATCCAGACCCCGTTTGTAAAAAGTGTAGGCTGCTTTCTCAAAACGTCTCAACATTTCTTCTGCTCAAGTCTGCTGGTTTTTAATTGTAAAATTAAGCTAATCGCACCATGCTTCATGGAACATTCACACAACTAGAAAGGTATGGGGAAACAAAAAGAAAGGTCGACTCTTACAGGTTTAACTTGGGCTACCTCAAAAACGATGTGGCTTAAAGAACCTTCAGATAGGAGACCAGTGATCTATGGAGACAGAAACAAAACCAGCTCGCAAATCGCTAATAATTAACTAGAAGGTGAAAAAAAAGGTGCATATCCAAGCTGAAGCAAACATACCAAGAAGTTTACTTGTGCGAGTGTTCCTGGTTGACTTAAGCTAATGTTGGCTAACTCAATTGTCCAAATAAAAAATCGTCACCAGTGTCGATCATTTATGTCCTCCATAGAGAAACAGTGTGTTCCTCTGCTTATAAGAAAGCACAGTGTCATAAAACCTGGGTGCTGGGCGTCGGAGCTCCAGATCGGGTTGGTTTTTCTGCTTCCCTTTGCCCCGGTGTGTCTACAATCAGTCAGCCCGAGGATTTCCCGTGGCTAGCTTCAAGCAACAGGCCCACAAACAATGTTAGAGACGACTCAAAAGATGCGCGAGCTCGCGTACAGTCCGTAGATTTTTACGCTACTTCATCTTCATTTGTTCTACATTTTTGTTGTTCTTTCTTTAGAGAAAAACTTGCTTGATAAAATAGTGTTTTATTAGCAGGCACTTCTAACAGCGCTCAGCTAGCTGACCTGCGCCGTTCGCCACCGTCATCAGCAATGAAGGTAAAAACGTCACGCAACACATTGGCGCATAGCCCGATGGGAAACAGAGTTCTTACGCCCAGCACATCACGCAGTAAAATTTGAACTGGCCACAACAATCCGCTTCTTAATTAATAATTTTAGACAAGTTACAAACCATTACAGCTTATTATTACATTTTTTTTAAATTATCAAACACTACAGTTACACCCCACTTAAGATTAATTATAATTACTGAGAACTGCACCTTAGTAATAAGAGGTTGAACTCCTTAAAGCAATTATTTCATTTAAATTATTTAATAAAGATTGGTCAAAATCATAAAGCAAGAAACTCTCATATTGATGATTAATGCATCTTTAAATAAAAAAAAAAGTAAAAAAACAAACAAAAAAAAAAACATTTGTGACTGTATGATAACTGTTAATTTTGTTTACCTATAAGGAAACAGCCAAAGTGAATTAAAATAACATACCATACCATTTTATTTATAGAGCACTTAAAACAGCGACAAGGCCAACCAAAGTGCTGTACAGACAGAAAAGCAGGCAACACACAAAGCAATATACCAAATGAGGTAAATGAAAAACGATGCAGATAATACATATGACGACCAACCGAGCATACATGTTCAAAACACAGATCATCTGGTGTTGAAAAATGTCAAAAAATGTCAACAATGGTCAAATCTATGGAATAGCTGTCTAAAATCAAGAAGTATGTCATTTAATTGTACTTACACTCAGATTTGTTGAGTAAAATACATAGATAAAAAAAAATGTTTTGTTTACACCGAGTGTAGCTGCATTTCAGAATTACAAAATAACATGTCTAGAAAACTACTGGAAGAAATCTAAGAAGGTTCAATCAGGTCCTCTGGATGGATTCTTCTATGTTGAAACGTTTTGTCTTTCGTCTAAAAAAAGCTTCAGTCTTTTGGATAAAAGACGCAACATTTCAACAAAGAATCCATCCAGAGGACCCGTTAACCTTGTTAGATTTATTTACCTGGATTATTGAGCATGAATCAGGATACTGGAATAAAATTCTTCAAATGGCACCTTTAAAAAAGGGGTCCTGAACTCTATTAATGTTTGATTCCATAGCTTGCAATAATTATTTTTAAATATAAAACATAATTTTGCCCTTTGTGCACTTGTTTTCTTGAGTTAATGGCATATTTATTGCTGATTTAAACACATCCTTAAGAGGTCTGGAGAAGAAATACAATTATTGGATGCATGTCTACATTAGGGACTTCTTACAGACTCAATAGACGCATAAAAATAATCCCACTCTCTCAGGACATGCATGCATAATAAACACACGTGTTGCTAAACAGTTGTGTCAAAATGCACCTTGAGAATGCAGAAAATTAAAATAAAGCCCATGAGTAATCTAGAAAGAAGAGAAAATAAGTTTTGTATATGTGCTGCTATATCTTTAATCTCTGTAAGAAAGTGTGGAAAATATTTCAAGAAATAATCACTTTCCAAGAAATACTACAGGTTTATAAACACTTATTTTTGAGTACATATTTAGATCAATGTAGCAATTAAATACTCACAAATTTCAGTTTTTGACAATTTTGTTCCTAACGACTCATATATGCTCATACCTCCACTTGCTGTAAGACTTATGGGTGAGTTTTTGTTTGTAAATGATCCTAAAGTTATTCTGTTGTTTCATTGATGGACTGCATGAACCTAAATTGACAATTAGTTCTGCAGGTTATCAAAAAAAGTAAATAATGAGTTGTAACAGGGTAGAAATTAGCTACAGTAAATAAATAAAACAGTGATTTTTTTAAGCAATGCACAGTTATAAACTTAAATTGTCAGCTCAGTGTGTCTTTTTGTGTATGTGGCTGTATATGTTGAGATGTGTGGGGGGTGTCAAAGGGCACTTCATCGGTCACTACAAGCACACTAAGAACAAAAAAACAGAAATGATTATTTAGAACATGTTTATTTTATTTTAAAAAAATGAATGAAACGGCAACAACAACAACAAAAAGTCAAAGTGTGTTCCAAAACCGTTCCATTGCCACACAACAGAGCACATCCTGACAGACAGCAGGTTCAATCTTCTCCTCGACTAAAACAGAACTCGGACCGTCGGCTCAGCTTGTCCGCCCAAACCGCGCTGAATAAATAATTATGTAAATTCAAGTAGAAAGCTGTGGAACTAACGAGCAATCAGTCACAGTGAAAGGCGAGCTGACGGCCTAAAAGTTCAACTCTGAGGAAAAGTTTTTGACGTAACAGGATGACATGCATGCACATTAATAAAATTAAATAAAATCATAAAAGGAACTTGTTTTATTTTCAGATGCTGCATGACTGGATTTCCTCAGTTTTTGACCAAGAACTACTGGCTGAGCTTAAACTGCACACAAAGGCTCATAAAATTCAGATGGACGTGTGTCTGAGCTCACATGTGCTTTTAACACCTTTTGTGTCAAAATATCAACAATCCTCTCGCGTAATCATCATTTGTTGCATTAGTTATTGAAACAAGCCAATCAGTTATCAGATACAGTACCTGCTCTTTTTACAAGTTCTTGAATAATAACCTCAGCGACACAGAAAATAATTGGTCCGTGTGCATTTTCTGCACATGTTGGGTCAGACTGGCTGATCATCAGTTCTTACAAAACTAAAAAATAGAACATTAATGCAAAAATAACAAAAACAAACACATGTAGGAAAAACAATACTAACATGATCAGAAAAAAAAAATCTTACAATCAGGAAGAAACCGAAATGACAGTACAAAAACCATAAAAAATACAAACAAATAAATATGGAAACTCTTAAATAAATTAATTTGGTGAAGTCATATATTGCAAAAAATGAAAAAGGAGAGTAATCATGGAGTAAAATGTGTTTAAGAACGAAGAACAGATCAAGAAATGATTAAGCCTTGGTTTGATAATGCTCAGTTTCATTGTTCACCTGAAGAGATGATGTGATTCATACACATGGACAGAAATGACCAAAGCAGAACATTTGTTCGGATCAGGATGTTGTTTAAGATAATCTGTTCTGATTAGGATTTTCCAGAAACGTAGACAGGCTTATTTTTACAGTGCAGCTCAGTCATGGATGTGTTCAAAGTGTGTGCTGCTGTGGTGAATTTGATAAAAACTCTGCTCAATTTTCATTATTTGGTCTCTTACGGTAAAATCCTCTTTGATGGAGGGTTTGGATGTTTGTGCAGAGCTTATTTTTACAGAAAAGCCACACCGTCTCTCCAAAAAAAAAAAAACTAGTTTGGTTTCATTTTGACATCCATCCATCCATTATCTTATACCCGCTTCTTTCATTTTGGGTCACGGGGGTCCATATTGACCTCTCCTCCTCCAAAACAAAATAAGACAAAAAGAAAAACAGCAGAGCTAATTTTAAGTTAACATCAGAACAGGTCACCAAACTTTATAACACAAGCTTGTTATTATTGTCAGTTTTTTTTAATTATTTTTTTTACCCATAAAAACACAAGACACAGGTACGTACACATGAATGACTCGAGCGAAGCCACAACGCAGGGCTGCGAGCTCACTTCCCCTGGGCTTGTACAAACTTTATATAGGCTTGAGTGAGTGTTTTGCATCGTTGTTCACTAAAGGCTACAGTAAGACTGTGGGTGAGATTTAGAGAGCTGCGGCAACCGTCTTACCTCTCCTTTCTCACAGCTAACATTCAGAAAGATGGAGGCAAAAAAAGGCATTTCTGTTGGTTGTTTCTCCGCTACAAGGAGGACACAGCTATAGTTTTTTTTCTTGTTTTACCTGGCTGCTTATA